AATTTTCCGAATCTCATTCTGAATTTATACCGAGTGTTCAAAAATATTATCAATATGGTTTATTTTGTATATATCTTTGTATGCACAAATGCTAAAATCTTGAATTTTTTTTCAAAACATGTGATGTCAATGGTTTCTAAAATAACTACGAAAAAATCCTGCTGATATATTCTGATGAATTTTAGAAAACTGAAATAAAAGACGTATAAAACATTTCTACTTCCAATTATGTTGGAATCAACAAACATATTTTGAAATAATATGTATTTTGCATTTATTTTCTCACAGAAAAATGATAAAAACGTGAATGGCTTATTGCAAACGTTTTGGAGATAAAAAAAAGTAAAGATGTGCGAGAAACTGAAATTTTTCACCATAATAATAGACTGAACGGACAAGAAATGGCATAATTATTATCAAAATCAAGTTTAATGTACAAAAATCCGTTACTCAATACGATGACACTATCAAAGTGTTCCGTCTCATGTTCGAAAAATATCTTAAAGATTTGGAAGTGAACAACTAGGCAATTAGTCGTTTAAATAGATGAGCAAATTCAGGTCAGAAAAGTGAGAAATTGTAGTATTTTGTACATCTTTGCTTTTAGCTCTCTCGAAATTGGTTAAGATAAGTCAAGAGAACGTTTTGCTCCTTTAAAAAAAAACAAGGTTTTCAGAATTCTTGTGCGAAGATAAATAAGAAATATGTATGTATATTACAATTTTTACTACTTTCAGTATAAAGGGAAGTAGCAATATTTTACATATCTTATCCAATTTTGCTAAGAACTCATCAGAACAGGTCCACATGACCTTGTAATGCAGTTGATACAGAGAATTCAACAACAGCTTCTAGGATTCGTTTTCAGAATATTTCTATAAGTCCCGAGACTGATGTTTTCATTGTAACATTAAATTGAAGAAAATAAGTCAAAAACAGACAGCTTACAAAGGTGAGGATTCACTCTTCCAGACCAGAGATTTTCTTTTTAGTATAGTTAAATTGCATTTTATGATATTAAGCAGAGAAATTCTGTGATTTAAATGGTTCCTGTAAAGCCCAAACAAATAATTCTCGAAAGATTGTCAAACTCAATGACGCATCTTTTAAGAAAATTCCAGTAAGAGTTAGAATTAGAAAGCTAAAAAATCCTTCCTCCCTTTATATCGATCTCCCATCGCTGCCTGAAAAGTTTTGAGCCTCCCCGAGATTTGAATCGTTCCGCCGCCTCTGATGTTATACAAGCACTCAATTATTAATCGATCAGCTCGTTGATTATAACAGGCGAATATTCTTTTCCATCTTGATCAATGAGAAACTAAGGTCATGTAGAGAATATCCGTCTCTATATCTGTATTTGTGTTCGACATGATCTAGTCTTTCTTTGTTTGAAATTTGCATATAATTTATTCTTAGAGATTACATTACTCAATTATTGACAATAAAAGTGTTTTAATCAAACAAAAATCAATCAACTTCGCTGAAGAATTCAAGAAAGATTTATAAATTATAATGTTCAAAATATTATACAATTCATTTTTATTGTCAAATAAAGGATTTCGAAAAATATTTAATAATTCAAGATCTTGTTTTTCTTTTTTTTTTTGTTAAAATCATACATTAAAGAATAAATTCATTTGACGTTTGAGACGAAAATTGCCGCAACTCATATACCAAAATAAATACAATTTTACAGTTTTTTAAATCACGCAATTAATTTGCATCGAATGTCTATGAAAGTATTAACAACTATTCTATTTTAAAAGATCATTGTTATACTACGAAGCACATGATAAAATTGTCATTTTTTTGGTATTTTGTGCAATTGCATATCTCATGAATTGATCATGCTAGAAAGCTAAAATTTTGGTCGTCGAAAGGTGTCATTGAGTCCTTATACTATTGGAAAATTCAGTTCTCTAGATAGTTTCTATGGCTTAGAAGACCTTCACGAAAATTGTGATTTTATCCCTGTAACATATATAAAAAACTAGCTAAATTGACTATCATCGATGGAACAGGATCGATATTGGACTTATCTGGCATGGCTCTTAATGTCTTACTTAAAAAATGTCTCGATTCAAATTAAAACAGGGGAATAATAGAGTAAATAACATTCACTTTCTTCAAAATTAGTCCATAAACCTTTTTGGTCTATGTCTTTTTTTCTTTCAGATGACAAATGCTTGCTTTTTTATGAAATTGAAAACAACATATCGGTTTGTCACATTCTGTCTCATAGGTGGCGGAGCCATTGAGACTGAGCCTCATCTAATTTTGGACTTGACATCCAAGGATAACACATAGTTTTCACGTCTCTTATGCATTTGTGCACGGATATCCCGAGCAAAAAGTGACCTCTTCAGTAATCTAGATTGTCGTATTGCGTTGGATGACATATAGAGATTCCTTATGCAATACGGAGGACCTAATAGAGCTCGTTACAAAACTTCTAGTCCCAACGATTGTTTTCAACGAAACAAATTCTATAGAAATATCAAACGTTTTTTGCTTCAGGAAATTTAACAATTGTCTGAGTCTAGTTAGTTTAAAAGATCTCCAGACTCTATGTATATAGCTTCCTTTGGAAATGTTCATTGAAAGAGTGACCGCCTACGGCGGCAGAAGTGTCGCATAACTTTTTCTGGATTGAATGCGAAGACATTTGTTTTCTCGCAAAAATTGCAAGAAAAGTAGTAAAACAAATTATAACGAACTCTATATTGAGGAAATTCAATTTGAATATTGTTACAATCAAATAATCGATCATCACCAACTGCCATTAATCTTTCTTTGAACATTTTTTTTCTTCTTTCATTGGATAAAGATCATCTTTATTTAATGTTAAATAGACTAGTTGATGAAATCGACGAATAATTTTCAAAACAAAGGACAGGGGCGCATAAGAACGTGATTTGGCCCATAGGACTTTTCATACGGAATCCGGCACAATCATATACAGGATGAAAGAACTTTGATACAACATTCGAGTTATACTTCAGGTACATTTCAAGATTTCTTTAACCAAATATTGATCATATGATAACGATGAAAGCATGATCTTTCTGGTCACCTTTCAACATGTGAAATCAGGCGAAGTCAGCTTCTATTATAGCTTGTTCGATAGCATTTTTCATGGGCTACAAAATCCCATAACTTTTAAAATTTTTAAGATTGGACCAAAAAAACGTTGCAGACCATGTCATAAAAATTATGTCAATTTTTTACACAATATAACATGGTTGACCTATGATTTCTATTATTATCAGGAACAGTGGGTGTGGGATTGGTTGAACTGAATAGTCACACTCATCCGCATGCATACCCTTTCTGAAGGTTTCGTACGAATCCCGGAGTGTAGGTGGATGGATGTGGACGTGGGTCTTATTTCCAATAGACTCACAACCATACTCACATCCACTCATACCCTTCTATAGAAGAGATAGACGATGAATGGTAGTCAAGCGTATTAGTCACCCGAGAAGAAGAACGCACAAGGTCAATCGGTAGAAAGAGAAAGAGAAAGAGATGAGGAGCCATCCATAAGGACGTCTGATAAAAATCGAACTTTTTGAACCTTCCTCCTTCTGTCTGGCTTTGTCCTACTTCGATAGATTCCTCCTTTCCCTGGACGTCCAGCAAATTTTTTTTTCAAAGGAATAGTAAAACATTAGTGAAAAAAATGAAATGATGTAATACCATTTCAACCTATTGTTTTACTCTTTCATCATAATTTGCAACTAAAACATCACTTTAAAATCATAGGTATTCCCAGAAAAAATATCTCTGTATAGTCGACTAACCCGAAGCAACAAAAAATAAAAACTTTTAAGTTTAATACACTGATTATAAGAGTTTTCGTTCTTCAATAAATTGATTAATCGATCATGCGTTAGAATTTCCAGCAAATGAAACTAATTGCATTAGATAAGATATTCACTCTTCCAGCAAAAAACATATTATGGTAGAACTTAAATAAACAAAATGAATATGCGTTCCGTAAACATCGATACCTAGGATCTTCTCTCTGCTGTCAGATTAAAGCAATGTTACGCACTTCGATAACTTCACACTTATAAAACCCGACATTTTTAGCTCAAATTTCAACGGATAGAATAAACATTTGAAAGGCTGTTTTTCCAAGCGTTCTGGTTCTCTGAATCTCTACTCCTTGTTCGTTTTTTGTCGACTCGCTTCTTCCTCCTTTTACCGGATGTCCTTCATTAGATGCCTCCTGATGCATTTCGTTGCAGCAAGTAATTAAAACGCATCCCGTATATTTCAGTTAAATCATAGATAATTATTTAAATTTCATCTCAACCTTCGAATATATCTCAAATTTAGACTTCTAGAAATATTTTATTAGAAAAACAACAATCTCATACTTTTTAGTATGATTACGATATATCTGATTTTTTTCGAATAAATGAATTGAATTGCTTCAAGTGAATAATATTATAAAAGTATTTAAATAAATCTTCGTAAAACATTCATAAACACGTGTAATAAACTACGTCTTTTTTTCTCTTTAAAATTTATCATTAATAGAACAGAAAAAAAAACACTTTTTCTTTTTATCTCAAAAGATTTTCTCTTCGTCTCACTGTCACCGAGTAACAAACAGAAAGAAAAAACAAACTACACGTGGCGCAATTTATATATATTCCAGATGGAGTGAATACTGGTTCACCTTTGCATAATAACAATATTCCCTATTAAAATATTCGAAAGTATTATATAAAAGACACAAAATAAAATTCTTACTTCATATTTCGATAAAGATACATGATCATAGGACAGTAAGTAAATGTTATAATATTTATCAGTCACGTGTTATATTAACGTGACTCTTCTTTTATGTTCATAATGATATGCATTTGATTGATTTAAAATTAAATTGCGACATATTTGAGAAGTCAATCTTTTTTTTATTCGTTCAATAAAATTGTTTCAGGAAAAAGTAAATGTTTATATTTAAGATAAAATTGTAAATATTAATAATGGTATTCGAACATTTGGCAGCATTTTTTATCGATAAATTTTTGGGAAATTATATTGAAGATTTCGATTCTCATCAATTAAAAATTCATTTATGGACTGGTATGACATTTATTTACATTAATCTGATTAAATTATTTTCATTTAAGGTGATATTATTCTTGAAAATGTTCATTTAAAAACCAATGCACTCGTAAATTAAAATTTTATATTTTGAAATAAAATAAATAATTTTGTTATAGAATGATTTTAATGTTCCACTTGAAATAATAACTGGTTATCTTGGTATGTTATATATATATATATGAAATTATTAAAATAAATCTTTGTTTAATTATATAGAAAAACTTCGAATTCATATTCCATGGAAACATTTATATACATATCCAACGAAAATTGAACTGGATGGCTTTTATTTACTTGTTACGCCAAAAACTGGTTTGTTTAAGAAAATAAAAATATTTGATTTTGATTTTTTTTTTTTGTTTGTTTGTAAAAGATGTTAATTATGATGTTGAACGAAAGGAAAAAGAAGAATATGAATCAAAAATGAAACAAGTTAAAAAAGTTGAAGAATTTCGTCGTGAACGAGAATTATTTAGTTCGATTATCGAATTTTATTATTTATTTTTATTTTATTTATTTTATTTTTAGAAAAAAATAAACAAAATCCTCATCATAAAGATACATTTTTCGAACGTTTAGAATTTCATATTCTGAGAAATCTTGAAATTGAAATAAATAATATTCATATTGCTTACGATGATAAAACAACAAAATCTTATCCATTTCAATGTGGAATTATACTTAATTATATTAAACTTCATGTATGTTCACATTTCAGAAATAACATGAAAAATTCTTTTTATTTTGTTTAGACAACAAATGACCAATGGAAAGATTTTGAATTAAAAGAAGATTCGAAAATAATTTACAAAGTTTGATTCTTTTTTTTTTATTTGTAAAGATTATTTATTTTAGTCATTTAGTTGGCACAAATAAATAATTTATCAATTTATTGGAATTCAAACATTAAATCAAGATTAGATTTATCTAAACAAGATATTATTGTATGTTTTAATTAATCATTTTTTAAAATTTTTTTTTTCTCAATATTTATTTATTCAGGATGATTTAAAATCAATTAAGCAACTTAATTATCCAAAAATGAATTTAAGTGAGAATTTCTTTTCTTCTTCTTCTCGATTGAATAGTTTATAAGATAAATGCTTTTAGTTGTTCAATCATTAAATTGTCAAGCTAAATTAAAAATTGCTAAAACAGCTCAAGAACAAGATTTTGAAGAAACTGTTCTTGCTACTGATATTGACTTTGAAGATATTTACTTGAATATTAATCGAAATCAAGTATGAATATTAAACATATTTTTTCTCTTATTGAATTATTTTTCAAATTTTAGTATTCAGATTTACTTGATGTACTTGAGTTTCAAGATTATCTTAATACGAAATCAAAATATATTCAATATTATACAATTCTTAATGATAATCAATATGAAAGAACAAGTTTAAGATGGTTAGATTGAAAATACAAGTTACTTATTTAAATAAAAAAAAATATAAATATTTAGATGGAAATTTGCATATACTGCTATTCTAAATGAACATGTTCGACTACGTTTAGCAACATTTAAATGGGAAGTTATTAAAGAAAATCTGAATAGATATAAAGAATATCGTGAAATTTATTTGCAAGAACTAAATCATCATAAAAATGAAAAACGTGCTCAAGTTTGATTTTGATCTTTTTTATTTTTTTATATTTCTATTTTATTTCTATTTAAAGGAATTAGAAAAACAAATTGATCTTTTTAATCTAATTTATATTCGTCGAACTGCACAAATTCAAATTAATATTCAATTATTTTCATTTAAAATAAATCTTTTATGTTTAATTTAGTATGCTAAGAAAAACATTGAAGAA